AAATGAACACCTCTTCCCTCTGAAATCTTTGAGGAATTTCTACTTCCTGCCTGCCATTTCAAGTAAGAACTCAGGGCTCCTACAGATTGGCACTCTGGCCACTGCCCAGCTGTCCGGCCCCTCCACTCAGCTCTGATTGCTGATAATGGTGGAAGAATGGAAGTTTGAGAAGGATTAAGGCTTTAAATAAAGGAGCACAATGCAAGATCACACCTCTCCCTGTTATGAGTTTGCATTTCAGTACACTTGCTTGAGCCTTCACATCTGTGTCCTGCCCCCTTGGGGCAGCCTGTTGGAACCCCTGGCAGGCTTCTGTTTGTGTGTCCATGTGCGTGTGCATGTGTGTGGGCATCTTTCACCCAAATGATAATTCTGGGTTTGCTTGGGTTAACCTTTGGAGGTCTTGCATGCAGTCATTGCCCCTCCTACGTGTCTCCCAGTGAGAAGAAGGATTTCCTGAGTAATTCCGGTGGTGTAGAATGGGTTACTGTGGATATTAATAGGGGGTTGAATATACACTGAAGGGCTGTATTTTTGAAATAATAAAGGGTTGCCTTGTTTCAGGTTTGCTGGCATAGCCTTGAAAAGGGACAAAATGTCTCTAGATGTCCTCTCTTGGCCACTTGTCTCAGTTGTGTCTAGTTCCTTAGCTTGAGAGAACATTTATTAGGATGTTTATTTTTTCTTTTTTAGTTTGTTGGTACAATTTAGGTATAGATGATGACCACATTCACTATAGGGAATTTGTATCTGTACAAATATATCTCTATATATCTTGATTCCTCTTTTTTCCCATTCCCATCTGCTCTTTTCAGACCATTTTCCCCTCCCATTCACAAAACTGTTTTCATTTTATCCTTCTTTTCTTATTTTTCTTTCCCTTCCTTCCTTTCCTCCACCTTCCCATTTCCCTTTTCCTTTTGAATGGCTTCTCTCTATATCACAATATCAATTGTACATTTTTGTTCTTATTTACACTTTAGTTTCTCACACCAGTGAGATAATATGATTTACAAGTGTGTCTGATTTATTTCACTCATGATTATGGTCACAAGGTCCATCTATTTAGCTGTATGTCTCAATTTTATCTTTCTTTATGGCTGAGTATTATTCCATTATACAAGAAAAAAGCACATCTTTTTTTTCCATTCATTGGTTAATGGGCATTTGTGTTGCTTCCAACATTTAGCTGTTACAAACACTGTGGTATGATGTTTTTAATTCTTCCAGGAATAGACCCAGAAGGGAAATAGCTGGGCCAAATGGGACCTCTAACCCTAGTTTTTTTTTTTTTCTTTTTTGATCTTTTTGAGACAAGGCGCTCATTATGAAGTTCAGGCTGGCCTTGGGCTCACTTTGTAGTCTACATTGGTCTCAAACTTGCAACGATCCTCCTGCCTCAGCCTCCTGAGTGCTGAGGTTATAGGTATGTGCCTCCACACCCTTAGTTTTTTGAGGAATCTTCACTCTGGTGGTTGCACCAGTCTACACTCCAGTCAACAGTGGAGAAAGGTTCTTTTTTCACCACAGCACTGCCAGCATTTGTTATTAGTTATTTTCTTGATAACAGCCATTCTTTCTGGAGTGAGATGGAATCTCATTGTTGTTTTAATTTGAATTTCTTGAATGATCAGTAATGTTGGGCATTTTTAAATATACTTATTGACATTTGGATTTCTTCTTCTGAGAAATGTCTATTTATCTCAGAAGCCCATTTTTGGATTGGGTGTTTGAATTTGGGGGTCTGATTTTTTTCAGTTCTTTACATGTTTTACATGTTAGTTCTTTATCTGAAGAAGAGCTGATATAAATTTTTTCTCACTCTGTGGGTTCTCTTTTCATTCTGTTGGTGATTTCTTTTTCTTTGCAATACTTTTTTAAAAGATGAGATCTCAGTTGTTGATTCTTTTAGTGGCTAGTGATAGACATGGCTGTAGTTTTAATATTCAGTATGTGGGAATTCAGTTTTTCCAGCACCATTTATTAAAGAGGCTATCATTCTTCCAGTGAATGTGTTTGGTCTCTTTGTCAAAGATAAGGTGGCTGAATGTGTTTGGAGTTGTTTCTGCATCTTTTAGTCTATTCCATTGATCCTCAAGTCTGTTTTGCCAGTACCATGCTGTTTTCATCACAGAAGCTCTGTAGTGTAATTAATGCTATCCCAATAAAAATACCGTTAACATACCTCAGAACTAGAGAAAACATCCTAAAATTCATTTGGAACTAAAAGGAACCTAGATAGCAAAAGCAATTCTGATTTATGTTTTCTTTTCTCTTTTTTCTTTTTATTTTTTTAAATATATATATTTTTTAATTTTAAAAATAAAAGGAGGAAAATATTAACAGACAGTTGACATTTTACAAAATAGCAAAGGAACAGTACAGACAGTACAGAGTTACAAACAGAGTGGTAGGGAATTAACAATGCTTGTTGTATTACATATTGATATCTTCAAAGTGGTTTCTCATGAAAACAGATATAAACATACAAAGCTGATCAACCAAGGACTCATTGACAGTTTCTTTCAGCAAAGAAATACAAGACAGTAGAACAGCCATGTTAACTATCCTGCATATACATACATACAAACTTTCTCCTTCTTTGCCTTCTCTTTTCCCATATCCCAGTTATCCTTTACCTTTGAGTGCTTTCCTATCAATTTACAATGTCTATCATATCTCCTAGTTTAAATTAATTCTTTCAGGCTTTACACTAGAGAAACAATGCAATGTTTGCACATGTATGTTTGATTTATTTCACTTATGAGTATGGTCTCTAGTTGTGACCATTTACCTATAAAAGCCTCAAGTTTATCTTTCTTTACAGCTGAGTAATATTCCATTATATAAAAGTACCACAATTTTCTGATCCAATCCTCAGTGGATGGACATTTGAGTTGCTTCCACATTTTAGCAATTACAAATTGTGCTGCTATGAACATAGGTGCACATACATCACTGTGATATGATGTTTTTAGATGTTCTGGGAAAATACCCAGCAGGGGGATAGCTGGGTGGAATGGGACCTCTAAACCTAGTTTTCTGAGGAATCTCCAACTGATTTCCACAGTGGTTTCACCAGTCTGCATTCTAACCAGCAGTGGAGAAGTGTTCCTATTTCTCCACAGCCTCGCCAGCATTTGTTATTGGTTGATTTCTTAATGCTAGCCATTCTTACGGGGGTAAGGTGGAATCTCAGTGTTGTTTTAATTTGCATTTCTCAAATGACTAATGATGTTGAAGATTTTCTCATATATTTATTTGCCATTTGTATCTCCTTGTCTGAGAAGTGTGTATTCATCTCAGCTGTCCATTTTTGGATTGGGTCTTTGAATTTGGAGGGGCTGATATTTTAAAATTCTTTATATGTTCTAAATAGAAGCCCTCTGTCTGAGGGACAATCAGCTAAAATTTTTTCCAGGTTTGTGGGTTTTCTTTTTACTTTGCTGGTGATTTCTTTAGATGTGCAGAAACTTTTTAGTAGGATGAGATCCCAGTTGTTGATTGTTTCAAGTGTTTCATGTGCAATTTGGTTTTTGTTCATGAAGTCTCTGCCTACCCCTATGTCTTCAAGGTTTTTACCTACTTTCTCTTCCAATAGCTTTAGTGTTTCTGTTTTAATATTGAGATCTGTGAACCATTTTGACTTGAGTTTGGTGGATGGTGGTAGGCTTGGGTCTATTTTCAGTGTTTGGCAGGTAGCCAGCCAATTTTTCCAGCACCATTTATTAAAGAGGCTATCATTCTTCCAGTGAGTTTGTTTGGCCCCTTTATCAAAGATTAGGTGGCTGAGTGTGGTTTTGGTTGTGGCTGTTTCTTCCAGTCTGTTCCATTGATCCTCAGGCCTGTTTTTTAGCCAGTACCAGGTTGATTTTATGACAGTGGCTTTATAGTATAATTTCAAGTCAGGGATTGTGATTCCACCTGACTTGTCCTTGTTGCCCAGGATTGTGCAAAAGCAATTTTGGACAACAAAGGCAAGGTGGAGGATTAGGATGTTTCATAGGCTCACACAAATTTGGGGGCTGAGAGGAGTTTAGCACCTCATTACTGGTCAGGAAGACCTTTGTGGTAGAAGATGTCCCAAAGAAGGAGGCAAAAGAGCAGGGACAGGCACAGGCAGAGGTTTGATTAAAACACTCAAGTGCATAGAGGTGGTCCCAGCACACTCCTACATATCCACTTCCTGTTCATAGTGTGAATGCTGGCCTAGGACTAGGTGCAGCCCTAGGTAAGCATGGTCAGACATAATGGACCTCATGCCTGTCATCATGAAGCTTGAGGGGCGGACAGATAACCCACAAGATATTTATACACATGTAGATAACAATACACAAACATACATACAGTGACAACATACATCAATGACAGCAAGTAATTAATATGTATACAGCATACATACAATGACAACATACACATGCAACAAACTGTACAGGATACCCAGGACAAAAGCATGTGAGGGAGCCTGTCCCTGTGTTATGGTTTGTATCCAGATGTCCCTCCAAAACCTCATCAGTCATGAGGCAGGGTTCTACAGTTTTGATTGACTCATGGTCCAACACTGGGATTATGGGTGTGAGCGATATACCCATCCTTGGGTGGGTAACCTGCGTACAACTGTGAGCTAAATAAACCTTTCATTCCTTAATTTTGGGCATTTGGTATTTTGTCTCAGGAATGAGAAAAAAGTAAGCAAGACACTCTGTAAGGAGGGGACGTTTCAGTAAGACCTGAGGTCAAGGTCAGGCAGGTGGCTGCAGATGGTTTTTGGGCTGGAGGTGTTATCCATGGTGGTTGCTATAGGGAGTGACCTCAGCGAAGCAGAACTGGTGTGCACTGTGTGGATTCAGCAGGTGGCTGTGTGGTGTGTGGGGCCATCCTTCCCTTGGAGCTACTCCGTGAGTCAGCTGCAGGGAGTGAGCTGGGGGTCCGGGTGGCAGTGGGTACTGAGCAACAACCCTGTCGTCCCACTGACTCAGGCTCCCTCCTGACTCTTACAGCCGCTGTACGATTCAGTTCAGTAGCCGAAAATGAAGATGCCCTTCTCAGACATTTGTTCCATGGGTATCAGAAATGGGTTCGCCCTGTATTAAATTCGAATGACACCATAAAAGTATATTTTGGATTGAAAATATCTCAGCTCGTGGATGTGGTGAGTATTCCTTGGCACAGAGCTAAAATAACATGCATTCCTTATAACCCATGTGTGAGTCTAAGATTCCATGTATGACCTTTGGGTAATTTATGGTGAGAGTAAATCCACCCCAAAATGCAGGTAGAATGAGCAGAGGACAGAATGGGAAGTTGTTACGGAGTAAATGTTTATTGTGACACTCACTGTAGGCTTTAGGGTCAACGATGGAATGTGGTGCTAGGACAGGCCTTGCCTGTGGGATGGGCAGTGGGTGAGAAGGGAGGACAGAGCCAGAGCTGCTCAGCTGCTCACCTCCTCCCTGCTGAGCCCCAGGCAGCTATGATGCCCGGTTGAGCAAGGACCAGGCATCCCACTCTCTCTATAAGCCCTTTTTTCCTGAACTCAGCCCCATATTGCCCACCTTTATGCTGGACTCCAATTTCTGCCATGATTATGTTCTTGGAAAAAAAATCAGTGAATTTAAACTCTGTAAATATAACAGAATTGTCCTTGTGCGTGGTCCCAAAAGTCCCAAAAGAATCCTCCCATGTGGCCCAAGTTCCCTACTCTGCCACACACACTCATCCATTCTGGCTGGCTCAGTAGCCCTGAATTCCTTCTAAAAAGGCACACAAAACTTGTCTTCCGTATAGCTAATATTGCAGGGTACAATGGTACATACCTCTAATCTCAGCAGTGTAGGAGGCTGAGGCAAGAGAATCAAAAGCTCAAGCCCAGCTGGGCAATTTATTTTTTATTTTATTTTTATTATTATTATTTTTTATTTTAAAAATAAAAGGAGGAAAACATTAACAGACAGACAACATTTTACAGCATATCAAAAGAACAGTACAGACAATACAGAGTTACAAACAAAGTGGTAGGGAATTAACAATGCTTGTTGTATTACATATTGATATCTTCAAAGTGGCTTTACATGAAAACAGATAGAGATATGCAATACTGATCAACCAAAGACTCATTGACAGTTTCTTTCAGCATAAAACTAGAAGACAGAAGAACAACCATGTTAACTGTCTGGTATATACATACATACAAAATTTCTCCTTCTTTCCCTTTTCTTTTCCCACATCCCAGTTGCCCCTTACTCTTGAGTGGTTTCCTATCATTTCACAGTGTCTATCATACCTCCAAGTTTAAATTAACTCTTTCAAGATTTACACTAGTGAAACAATGTGGTGCTTGCACATGTATGTTTGATTTATTTCACTTATGAGTATGGTCTCTAGTTGTGATCATTTGCCTATAAAAGCCTTGAGTTTATCTTTCTTTACAGCTGAGTAATATTCCATTCTATAAAAGTACCACAATTTTCTTATCCAATCCTCAGTGGATGGACATTTGGGTTGCTTCCACATTTTAACAATTACAAATTGTGCTGCTATGAACATAGGTGCACATATGTCACTGTGATATGATGTTTTTAGATCTTCTGGGAAAATACCCAGGAGGGGGATAGCTGGGTTGAATGGGACCTCTAGACCTAGTTTTCTAAGGAATCTCCAAACTGATTTCCACAGTGGTTTCACCAGTCTGCATTCTAACCAGCAGTGGAGAAGGGTTCCTATTTCTTCACAACCTCTCCAGCATTTGTTATTGGTTGATTTCTTAATGCTAGCCATTCTTACTGGAGTAAGGTGGAATCTCAGTATTGTTTTAATTTGCATTTCTCGGATGACTAATGATGTTGAAGATTTTCTCATATATTTATTTGCCATTTGTATCTCCTTGTCTGAGAAATATGTATTCATCTCCGCTGCCCCAGCTAGGCAATTAAGTAATTTAACAAGACTCTGTATCCAAATAAAAAATAAAAAAGGCTGGAAACACAGCTAGGCTTTTGGTTCAATCCACAGCATTGAAAAAACAAATATATATATGTATATATATATATATCTTCTACTTTATGTTGTTAAAATATCTTCTGGGTTATACAGTCATATATAAATATTGTCACAATAAACTACTACATGTTTTAATAATTATTTCTCCCCAAACTATGCATAATATTTAGGGTTACATGCCATTTAAATGTTCTTAAAATCCTTTTTACTTTTGAATACCAAGATAAGACTCAAAGAGCTTTATTTAACAAAAAATGAAAAAAACCCCAAAAGTTCAATTTCCTTCAATTGTATTTTTTTACTGTCATTTTTCATAGGATGAAAAGAATCAATTGATGACAACAAACGTGTGGCTAAAACAGGTAAATTCAGCCCCAGAACAGTATCTACCAACTCACTGAAATTCTTCTCTGTTTATGCAGGCTTCAACCTGAAAAATACTTATTTTAGAAAGCACACTGGGTTCCTCAGGGAGGTGCCTGGGAATTAATGTTGTCCCCACATCTGCTGCGGGCCTTGCCTGAAGTCACTTAGGCTTGGGACAGACTCTCAGTTTACTTTATACCAACTATTGCTGCCTGCTCTGTACCACTAAGCAGAGCAGCCCTGATGTCTTGGTGTTCCCAGTGCTGCTCCTGGAGGCAAAGCTGCACCTCAGGGGTGGGCAAGGGGAGAGGACTGCTGAACACTGTGGCCTAGCCTGTGGGTCCTGGGGTACCTGGGCAAAAAGAAAAGAGATTCTAAAGCAGTACATAAAATGTACCCATTTCCTCTGACTCTTTGCAGGAGGAGTCTATCTCCAGTGTCTCCTGTTTCTTCCTGACCTCCATGGGAGGGAATAACAGAGGTGGCCCTCTAGTTTCCAAGTCCACAGAAACCCTGATCCATAGGGAGTGTGTGTCTTCCTGACAGAGGTGTTCTGAGTGTTCCTCAGTTGAGTGTTCACCTATCACCTGTCTCCTGAGGCCAGATAATTCTGTTCAGAGGAGCTTGCTATGAATTTATCAGTAAATAATTACCTTTCAAAATCCAATTTTACAGTGTTTTGAGAAAGGAGAAAATGCTGATACTTGATCATAGAGGTTTAGATTAATTACTTATTGTTTGTTTCTGTTTTGTTAGTAATTCTTCTTTAAAGGAACAGTCAGATTTGCATGATCTGTCAGTAGATTTCCAATATTCATGATGAGAAATTATATCTAAATGATACAGATATAATACTTCACATTTGCTTATATTGAAATACATTACTTATCAATTGAGACTCTGGAAACATTATTCAGTTGTTGCTGATGGTTTGTAAGGAGCAATGGATGAAAGAAACCCAGGAGGTTCCTAAGTGTCCTTTGGCGTCCTTAAATTTCTCCCACCCAAAACATGAATCAGAATTAGAAAATTATTATACATTTTAATACTTTCTCTTCCTCTTGGTAGACATATTAGCAAGTTGCAAAATGAATCTGCATACTATTTTACTTGCAAATAAAAATATCCAGGAAAAAATACTGAGCTGGAAATTTATATATGAAAGTACAATTTAAATAAACATATCTCACAGTGTACTCATCTCATTCCTCAGTGATGAGGTATCAGACTTTTATAGTTTAGAGGCTGTGGGATTTAGAGTTTTTTGAAGTCCAATATTTTAGCTAACAGGGGAGAGAAGAACCTAGCATTTTGTCTTAAATTATCCCAGTGATGCTTCTGGAGGCAGAGCTGCTCCTCACGGCTGGGCAGGGGAGATGACTCTTTCACAGTGTAGCCTAGCGTGAGGGCCTTGGGGCACTTGTGGAAAAAGAAGAGATTCTAAGATGGTACATAAATCCACCCAAAAGCTTTAGGAAGTTAACAAAAACAGAACAAACAAGTGAACAATAAAACCAGGCATGGCAGCATGTGAGCCAGGCATGGAGGCACTCACCTGTAATCCCAGTGTTCTAGAAAGCTGAGGCAGGAGGATCTCAAGTTCCAGCCCATCCTGGGTAACTTAGCAACTTAGTAAAACCCAGTCTCAAAATAAAACATTAAAAAAGGCATGGGGATGTAGATCCTCAGTACCAATAAAAATAAAGAAAGCCTTCCTTCTTCTCACAGATCTTCTTCCCAACTGCTCACTGAAGTTAAGCTCTTAATTTCTCTCATAAAATTTCTCTCTGCAGGGACCATGGACCTTAATATGGAGGTAGTGGGTGTTTTTCACTTTTCTTGCAGTTTTGAAAACAAGAAATCATTTCAGCCAAAGAGAATAGGCTTAGACATAACAGGGTGGAAGCCTCAGCTCCTCAGGCTTTAGCTACAGCTTTCAGAATGACTTCCAACAAAGTTACACCACAAGATCACAATAGCTTGGAAAGCTCTGTCAGGTCCGTACTAACATCCTGAGGTCCCTCACCCCAAGAAAGCAAGAGAAGCCACTGCAGAGGAACAAGCTGACAGTTGGCTGACTTACATTCTCAGGTAATATAAGTGATGAGAAGAATGGGCTTTAGTTGCATTTAATTTGTAAAGGTTGTCCTTCTTTCTCTTGTTTAAAGCTGCCAACTACTTGAACTAGCACTGATTCTGTTTTACCAAGAACAGCCGAGGATCCTCCTGGCTGGTGCTTGGGTTTCCTATCCCCTAGCAAAGGCCCTTTCTGCCACACCCAGCCTTCTCACTAACATGAAGATCTGCTTCTGAATCCTAGGAACAGCCAGAGTAGGAGAAAGCAAGCTTCCCACACCGCACAAATACAGAGAATGTGCTCAAAGCCCCATCTGCCCACATGGACTGAGTTTGGGGTGAGAAATGTCACAAGGGACAGCAGCCAACAAGTACCAATGAGTACCGTGTTATGGTACAAACCGCAGGGTCCAAAGAAGAAGGAGATTCTATAGGGTGGATGGTACACAGAGACAGAAGGCTACAGACCAGTAGGTATTTGAACTTGACCTTGATGTCACTTTTATACTTCTTATTTTCTCTTTCTTAAAGCTAAAAGGATAAAAAAAGGTGAAGGATGAAATAAAAGGTATGGAGGGCTGGGCTGTAGCTCAGTGGTAGAGTGCTTGTTTAGTATGTGTGAGACCCTGGTTTAATTTCCAGTATTACAAGAAAGGAAGGAAGGAAGTGAGGAGGGAAGGGAGGAAAAGGAAAAAATAAACTGGACAGTTTAAGAAAAGCTACCATTGAATTTTTCAGAATTCTTAGCTTTAGAGCAGCTGATAATAATCCTGCAGATTTACTGAGCACTATGCTGTGTGGTCATGGAATAAACTCATCTAATTCTCCCAGCTCCTCTCTAAAGTAGCTCCTATTATCATGTCCTCTTTCTCTTTTGCCCGCTAGGATTGGAGGCTTCTGGTGACCTGCCCCAGGGTTACTGCAGGGAACAAGCAGAGGTGACCTATTCTTTTAGCACTGCTCCTGGGGAGTCCCTTTCCTATGCTTGGTCTTCAAGGCTTCTGGGACTTCTTGTAGAGCAGGAACAAAAGGATGTGCAGGAGAGAATGAAGTTAGGTTTACTATGGCTTCCATTCATTCAGAGAGTCCACTGAGAGCCTACAAGGTGCCAGGCATTTTGCCAGATCCTAGTTATGGGAGATAAAGTCACATTTGTCCTTTTAAGGAGAGGATAAAGCATTAGTTTTGTAATAACACCTTCAATGTTTACATGATAAACAGTATATAGAAGGTCCTATAATGATGCGAAAATGACAGCAAGACCCAGAGAAAGTCAAGGAAATTTCCAAGAGGAGATGTTTACTTTGGCTCTTACAGGACAAATGGAAGTTCTGCAAACCAAGAAGATATAGAAGCTGTGAACCACCCAAGTCCTTTTCCCTGTAATATGATTCCAAAGTCCTCACATCTGAGCAAGCTGCCCATCCATCCCAGAGTACTGCAATCAGAATGAAGACAGAAAACCCCAGTCCCTCCTCTTTCTTCATTTCCTTCCGCACACTGACTAGTGTTCTGATCTGTAATTGCACAGGGAATACAATGCTCTCTGTACTGTAGAGTGTACATGCTGATGCGCTTGGGGCCTTTTGTCTGGTTTTGTTTTTGTTTTACCTAATTCTCCTGTCTGATCCTGTTTCTTCCTCTGGCACATGTGGACATTCCTTTTCTATCCTCTCAATGAAAGACCTTCATGAGGCACTGTCTTGGTTACTTTTCTCTTGTTGCTGAGACAAAATATCTGACGTCCAAAATTAAGGAAGGAAAGGTTTATTCAGCTTACAGTTTGTGTAGGTTTCAGTCTGTACTTGGCTGGCTCCAAGGCAGAGTGGCACATGGCAGAGGCAACCATTCATGGCAGCAGAAGATAGCAAAAGCAGCAAGAGCAAAAAGAAGAAGTGGTGGCAAGCAGCCTCTTTCTCTTCCTTACATTGATATGCAAACTACCTGCCCCAGGGCAGTGTAACATTCACACTCATGAATGAGTTATAAACTCTAAAAGCCCACCCCATGACTGCATGTGGCTTTGGGGGAACACCCAGATACAAACCATAACAGGCACAAATCTAGTGACATCCAGAGAAAGAGTTTCACATGGAGCTATTTTTACTTTATTGATTTTAATTTGCAATCTCATTTGCCTTCCTCCTTTGTCCTCCAGTGAGTAATCAAAACCCTATAAACCATAAATATATTATTAACATTGACTCATGAACACTCATGAGAAAGGACTCAGTGCCCTAGTCCATGAAGTTGCACCTCATCATGTTCAAGGTTAGGAAACCTCATCACAAGCACCTTAACAAAGCAAATGAAACATGAGACCAACCTTCTTTCTAATGCCACAAGGGCAGGACCCTTTGCCTTGAAAGTCTCATATCAGTGTGACAATGGATGCAGCTTTACTCAGTAAGCACTCACTGAACACCTGCTCTGAGCTGGGTTCTGTGCCAGGCTCTGAGCTGGGCAGGGTTGCAAATGAGCAGAAATGAAATAGTAAGAGGACTGAGTGGACAGCCCCCTGTGGTTGAGACACAGATGGTTCTCCTGTCCCCACGGCAATTGAGGAAAATGCAGCTGCCAGGAGACTTGTCAAGGCCAGCATCTTAAACTGGTAATATTTCTCCAAAACCCAAGTTCTGTTTTAGCACAATACAAAGTTGAGCAAACAGAGTAAAGTCCTATTTAGATAGAACTTTGGAGGTGGTTATTGAAAAGAAATAAGAAATAAATCAGCTGTGGAAGGGTCAAACCTTAAAGGTCTAGTGATCGCCTCAAAAGTCTATTATCCACACTAAGGATGGCAAGTCTAAGTCTGAATTTACTGGCCACCTTACTTTCCTTCCTCCTCAGTCTCCATATGACCTTGGATATATTGTTTGAGTGGACCCTGGATAAGAATCAAGTGTGGTCCCAAGGGTGG